AATCATGTGCTTTTAAGAGAGGGGTTTCAGTTCTCCTGTGTTTTTAATCAGCATTGATAAGGAAAACCCCACAGTTTTGATTAAATTTACAAAAGATTCCAACCTTGGAAAAACTGCAAGTTTGAGGATGTGTTTAGAGTTAAAAATGCAATGATTTGGACTAAGAGTGTGAAAAATACAGGAGGAGAGTCAGTAGGTGTGAATACAGGGTAAATTCCTACATTTAGCCAGGAGTAGCCAACTTCACAAACAGAAGGTAGAAACGGAATAGCTCTGCAGAAGTAAATCTCAGCAGCTGTCATGTTGTTTGCTACTCTCGTTTACTGCAGGGGTTTTACCTGAGTTCAATCATGTGCTTTTTAAGAGAGGGGTTTCAGGTCTCCTGTGTTTTTAATCAGCATTGATAAGGAAAACCCCACAGTTTTGATTAAATTTACAAAAGATTCCAACCTTGGAAAAACTGCAAGTTTGAGGATGTGTTTAGAGTTAAAAATGCAATGATTTGGACTAAGAGTGTGAAAAATACAGGAGGAGAGTCAGTAGGTGTGAATACAGGGTAAATTCCTACATTTAGCCAGGAGTAGCCAACTTCACAAACAGAAGGTAGAAACGGAATAGCTCTGCAGAAATTCTGGAAAAAGACCTGGGAGTTATGGAAGGTCCCTATCTTGATATGGGTGAATATCAGGCTGTTGTTAAAAAGCCAAATGGAAAGAGGGTTGGATAAACCCAAGGAAGCTGTGGCTGGAGCTCTGGAAAAAGCTCCTATCTTGATGTGGGTAAATACCAAGCTGTTGTTAAAAAGCCAAATGGAAAGGGGGTTGGATAAACCCAAGGAAGCTGTGGCTGCCCCATCCCTGGAGGGGTTCAAGGGCAGGTTGGAGGGGGCTTGGAGCAACCTGGGCTGGTGGGAGGTGTCCCTGACCAGGGCAGGGGGTGGCACTGGGGGGGCTTTAAGGTCCCTTCCAACCCAAACCATTCTGTGATTCTGTGATAAAAAAGTGTTTAACTTGTTTGATATGATCCTTCAGCTGCTCTCAACTGTTACTGGCTAAACTTCATGTTGCAAACACAGTTTTGAGGAACTAGGTGGACCTATGAGGAGAATATCCAGAGAATAAGAATGAGAAAAAAAAAAACAAAAAACAAACCACCAAAAAACTGTACCAACTGGGAATATTTAAAGAAAAGGAGACTGAATGGAAACGTGCAAATGGTTGCATAAAGGAATGAAGCAGTCTGTTCTCTGTGCCCCTTCTAAATCAGCCATGAGAGGCCAACAAAGGCACGAGTAAAAAACTTTCTAAACCATTGGGATGGATTGCAGGGGAGTTTGTGGATTTTTTTATGGCTGGGATGAATTAGGTATAACTAATTGTGACTTAGGTCAGGAAAATGGATTCCCTGACCTCCCAAGGGCATTCCGGCACTGAAATTCAATCGTCTGACTGTCGCTAGGGTTGCTTGGTAAAAGTAAATATTTCTTGCAACAAGCATGTCTTTTTAATTACAAAGAAAACAGACTTTGGAAATTCTTCAGCTGCCCTATTGCAATTAGATATTATTCATACGTGTTCTTTTCTGTCAACATACATAAACATTTCCAAAACCATTTATTTTTGGACTTTTGCAACAAGTCAAATTGCTAGGAATTTTGCTGTACCCTTGCAGACAAAATGCCAATGCATTCAATACAATACATTCTGTTTTCGTCAGTTGGAATTCACCTGGTAGAAAAACCTAATCCTAGTAAAATGTTCCAAGAATGGTAAGCACATAAGATGAAAAAGTCTAATAAGTTACCCTAACTGCTCTAGTTTTCTGATCTATTTGAACGTAAATACTGAATAAAATAGCAGTTTTCATTTTGAAAAGAAATAGGATTTAATGCTCAAGGAAGCCGCTGAAGTTTATTTTAAATGCAGCCTTTTAACCTAACTTCTTTTCATGTCTTTTGACTTTGTGGTCAAATGTACATTTCTTTATCCATGCTAGTTTTAAAAGTTAATACAATTTAATTCCTGAGAGCCAGTGGCTGTTTGACCCAGTCCGGTGGGATAATAAACAGATACAGAACTTTATAATTATGGGCTGTAGTAACTGACTTTGGAAAGGACAAAAGAGGAAGGAAACACAAGTTAATTTGACTTATGATCCCAGAGCCTACATTTCATGCTAGAAATTGTGGTGAATAAATAATAATATTTGTGGTGAGGAAGGCTAGTTATTAACTGCTTTCTTTACTTTGTAAGGTATCATTTATTATTTGTAGACCGGAGGGTTTAGAATGTGATCCAATTTTTTTTGAGATAAAATCTCTATGTTGTAATGTTTCAAGTTCCAGTATACTTGTTGGGCAAGGAATGGTTTAATAAAACACTGAGAAAAAAAAGCAGCAATTAGCCGAGCTGTCTCTAGGGCTTGAGAAGTTGTCTTCTCAAAAGTTAACTCTGGCAAGGAGCTCTAGCTCTTCATAGAACTGGAGTCAGTCAGGAAATGTTCAGTTAATCTTTTCAGCCAAATTTCTATTTCTCAAAATCATAATCTTGTAATGGAACAAAGCAGTTTTTGGTGATTCTACGCTAAGAAACATGTCTCATGGTGAACCACGCAGATACAGGGAGGATGGGAAAGCCATATATCCATGAATATAGTTAATACCCTCCCCTGAGTATGTTATGAAGAAATGGTTTGAAATGCATGTCTTCATCCTTCAGAATGTAAGGGGAGTACTTGGCACTTTACTATAGACCCAGCAGCCTCAAATCCTTGAATTTTATGAGAACCTGGCAGACAACCTACCTGAACCTGGGAGACTGTCTAATGAAGTGTAAAATTAGGATAAGAAATTCAGAAATACCACGAGATCAAGCACTGACCCAGCAAAACAATTAAATTAGTGAGACTTCATGTGCCTGCTTTTTTGTGACCCTCTCTGTAAGTGGTCCCTGCTCATGGCAGGGAGGGGTTTGGACAGGGTGGCATTTAAAGGTCCCTTTCAACCCAAACTGGTCTATGATTCTACGATTCTCTTAGAAGTGCTTTGCATATTGTGGATCCTTCCCCACAGACCTCTAAGCTGAAATCTGATTGGTTGTGATTGCTGAAGAAGTGTCTCTGGTGAGCTTGAAGTCTGTCTAAGGGGGGGGCTGGAAAGAGATTTGGTTTGATCCTTTGGAAGGAATGGGATATTACCTGCCAGTTTCCAACCCTGTGATTATAATAATTGACGTGTATTTAAGGAAGTGAAAAGACATCACTAAAATTGAATATGAGAAATTTGCCTGAGATCCAGAAGACACTATAATACATGGTGAAAAAAAGGAATGGACTAAAAGTATAGTCACATAATGCATGTCTCACCACAGCTGTTTGTGTTTGATACATGAAGCATTTGTTGTGGCTCACCTGCCCCCTGTGCAATAATCCATCCCGGCCCATTTTCCCCATTCCAAACCTTTAAGCAGCTTCCAGAGAGCTGCTGTGTTTCAAAAACAACCCCCCATCACAAAGATGTGTCTCAGGTGGTGTTTTTTCTGCTACTGTCAGCGAAAAGAAAAAAGCAGGCTTTTCACAGGGATGAAAGTTGAAATCAGGTACACACAGCCTGAACTAAGCTACCAAATTGCACTAGGGGAGGTGTAGGATGGATATTAGGAAAGAAGTATTCACAGAGAGGGTTGTCAAGCCTTGGACAGTGGTGGAGTCACCATCCCTGGAGGTATTTAAAAGCCAGGCAGACGTGGTGCTGAGGAACGTGGGTTAGGGGTGGTTTGGGCAGTGTTGGGTTGATAGTTGGATTTGATGATCTGAAAGGACCCTTCCAACCTCAACAATTCTGTGATTCTATGATCCTCCAGGCTACAGTGCATGGATTTCTTTCTGCACCAAAAGAAGCCTCAGAATTGACACACAGGAACACCAAATGTATGAAAATGTCATTTTCAGTTGAGTGTCCAACCTTTTTTTTGATGTAGAGTCTTCCTAGAGCCTGCTTGGGTAGGCTTTGCAGCACTACAGATTTTTAGTATCCTCTAAGGAAAAGGGAATCAACCTGTAAAAGGTCTTCCCCTCATGATGTAAGCAATAAATTGGGGTCAGTCTTCAGGATTGAAGGATGCCTGAACTGAGTCATGTTGCTATGGTCAGACTTTCATCTCTGGTGATATTCTGGAGAGTGACTGAAAGCCAGGGCAAAGGCTCTGTGTGGCCTCACTGGTGGGTACTCACTTAATGAGCAGGTTGGAGAAATATTTACTCTTTGAAAAATCAGAAGTTGTAGTTACATATTGTTGTAAGAAATGTTGCTTATTGCTTGATTTAACCACAAACTTCAGAATTCAAACCTGTAGCATCAGCCGTTTGAGTCTGCACATTGGTAAGGACTTACTTTACCCTAGTCTAGATAGCTTCAGCTAGAAAATAAATATTAGTGACTATTGCTGTATTAAAGTTTCTTACTAGTTGTATGAACAATTTACACTAAATTAACATGACAGAAGAAAAAACCCACCACTTCACAGCTTTTAAAGTAAAATGTTAGTTCTTCCACCAATAATTTTAATTGAAAAAGTATTTTTTTTTTTAATTAAAAATATTTACATTCAACACAGCTGTTAAGGCATTGAACTGAATACTAGAAAGAAATTAAGGAACATTATTTGTTGAATCTCAGTGCAGTACTAACTGCTGCGAGTGCCAGCGACATCCATCCACTGAGGTATAATCTGCCTCCTCTAACAGAGTGAAATTCATGCTTGTGCAGATGGCTCCCACATGGCCCCTGCCTCATTTAAATCCCTCTTAATCCTTCTTTCCAGAATTCAAGTTGGATTTATGGAGTGCACAGTCCTTGTGGTGACCCTCTGCCTGTAGCGAATTTCATTCCCTGCTGCCATTTTATTTATATTTAAGCTGCGGTGTGTTTACCAAATTAACCCTATATCCTGGCACAAATTAATCTCAGGCTCTTTCAGACTTGTGAAGGCTATCACTCTTACCTTGCTCTTCTTCCTCTTGCGGCGGAATCGCAGCAGTTCTTTATGCTGCCTGGACACAAAGTTTACAGCCGCGTACTCCAGGAGTGCAGAGAACACGAAGAGCAGACACACGGCCATCCAGATGTCAATGGCTTTGACGTACGACACCTACGGAGAGAACAGAGCAGAAAACTAAATATTTTAAAACCACAGATGTGAGCTTTAGTATTTCACGTCAGGAGGAAGCGCGTTAATATCTCCACAGCCTAAAGCTACTTTTATCAAACAAAACTTGACATGAAGACGAGGTAATAAGAGGGAAAACAATTACATTTACAAGTGTTTACAAGATTTACAAGTGTTAAATATTATTTAAAGAAATGTAGTCTTTCACAAAATGCATTTACTCTTTATGTCATAAACAGTTCCTCATGGTCTACCGTGTATTTTATAACTAACAAAATAATCCACAAGAAGCACGTGCTCTTCCTTCCCTTGTCCCACTGAGATCTGTGACTGGTACTAAGGAATCAGAGGATACCTTATACTGGGACCAGTGGGAATTCCTGTATTAGAATGGATCTGATTCAAAGTTCCTGGAATAGAAATTAGGTAGAGGAAGGGAGATAGATGAAGAACTCTGGTATGTTCATTCTCTGCTAATATAGGCATGGTAAATCAGAGATATAAATTCACATTGGTCCCTGCAATTTTGATACAGTGGAAGTACTGAAAATCAATTGCAGAGTAGGTGAACTGTAATTGATTTATTATTTATTTATTGCCCAGCTCAGCTGCAGGACATAACCTGGACTAGGCAAGTAGGGCCTGGTCCCTCTCTGAGCCTTCTCGTATAAATCAACATAGCTCTCTTCAGGCCTCAAAAATGTGTCGAAACCCATCTGTAGCTCTCCTTGGTGACCTCTTACATTCTTGCTTTTCTGAGTGTTTATCACGTTCTGTTTTCTTATCTGTTGATGTTACATTTGGCTGCATTCGGATCCATATATCTGAAGTGAAGGCACACTCACCTCTCTTTTACTTCTCTCTTTTACTTGGAAAAAATAAATTAGCCGACTTCAAAATACCATATTAAAACTAATACAGAAGCGGACTTCGTGTATTTTTATCGTATACATTTTATTTCTATTAACTCCAATGGCACATGAAGTTGGTCAAGAAATAACCCTTAAAATGAAAAAGAAGCACTTTAAAGTAATAACAAGTCAGAAAGCTTAAACAGTTAATCATAGAAATATGCCTTAAGCTATTTTCATTGTGTAGTGAACCAATTTTTATACAACTGTTTGGAGCTATTTAGCTTCCCATTTTTCTACATTTTAATATGAATGCATTTGTAACTCGTGAGTTAACTCATCACATAGGCAGGTCTGGAGAAAGGAATATTATTGGGAGCAGGCTGGAATTTATGACTTTTAGAAATTCAGTTCTATCTGCTGGAGTGACATCAGCTACTGGGATGCAGAAGAGGATGAACCAGTTGATTACTGAGCAGCATTTATGTGGTACTGAATAACATTGCTTTCATCACTAGCTGAGGTTTGTGGAATTTAGTACATATGGGATTGACTAAATAGTTGAGAAGGAGAGAAATAGAATATATTTGATTGGTGACTCAAAACCCCACCAAATATTTCAAAGTTATTTACCTCCTTTAGAAGATCCTTAAGTGCTAATAATTAAAACACATGGTATAAGGTTGACTGAAGGTGTGTGTTTGTCACGTAGCATTATGACTTCGTACTAATGTGGCAGAAGTGCCATAGGCACTAATGGTGCCTACCTTTGGAAGAGACGCTCGTGAACCTGAGCTCTGGGTTGTCATGGTCAGTACCGTGGTTATCCCCAGAGCCACCCTGGCAGGAGCTGCGTCCATATTGATCCAGAAGGACACCCAGGAGAGGATGACGATCAAGAGACTAGGGATGTACATCTGGATGAGATAGTAACCCATCTGCCTCTCGAGGTGAAATCGGACTTCAATACACGTAAACTTTCCTTTTGATAACAAAAAAAAGAGATATTCAAGGGAAATAGAATGTTCTTTGCTGTCAACACCTAGCAGTCCACCCTCTAAAGGATTTCCGCTCTGTCAAACGTATTTGTTATCTAATAAAAGATGAATGGTTTGATTTCTTTTCAGTGATTGTTGATATATACAGTGCCCATTATAACTGGATTATCTACTGGAAAGAAAGCAGACCAAAAACCTGAAAATTTAAGAATTCAATAAGCTCTGGACTACTTCTTTCCTTATAAAAACCAAGAGATGACCGAAACACAAATCCTTATGACACAGGAGAGTTCCTCTGTGTGGTCACACTTGTTATGCTCCTTATTGTTTGGAAATACTGCAGAAGAGGCTTGGTCTCCCATTGCATAAAAGCTCCTTTACCTTTTGGTTCAATTTTAAGCTTAATTTTTTTTTTTTTTTGGTCCAATGGATTTGGGAAAAATATAGCAAGACCGGTGTGGGTTATCAATAGGAGATTCTCATCATTCTCTCCCTTTATCCCCATTCAGACTGCTCCAACTCAAACAGAAATCAAGGACTTGAGATTAGGCAATGTTAGGAAGCTGAATAAATGGCCTAATTTTTCCAGATATTGAACATCAACCAGCCTCCACTAATTTAACTAAACCAGAAAAAAAATCTGTTGTTTCCTCATAGAAATGCCATAAAACCACTTTTTTTTTTTTTTTTTTTTTGCTCGTAGAAATGCCATAAAACCACTTCTTTTTTTTTCCTCTTGTCCAGATCAGTGTTTTTATCCTCTAAAGTGTAGATGATTTCACAGATCTTGCCCTGGTCTCATTAGATTTTCTAATTCTGCTCGATGCTCATATTAGTCACATATGGATGGTGCTGAAGGCAATGCTCTGACTATAAATAGTGGATACATGAGACTGTTTCTCACAGCAAGAAATATACAGATTTCTTCCTTATTTGAATGAAAGCATTTCCAAATACTAAATGTAACTATGTAGCTGTTTATTTCTTAAGTGGTATGAAGTTTTTTTGGTTATCTTTTCCAGCAGTTTTGATAGATATTTTGCTAATCCATTTTTATTTGCCAAAATGCCATTTTATAGCAAATTGTTCCACATTAATACTGCTTTAATATTTATCATATTAACAAAATTTATGTAACAGACTTATTAATGAGATTATCATATACCAATTTAATGTATTGTGTATTATGCTGTGACAATAGTGTTAGGGATACAGAAATGAGATCCAGATAAAGTCAAACAGTAATGTTTTTATTCCAGGCATATTATGTGCTTGGAAATATCTTCTGAACATCTTTATTTTCATTTTGGTTAACAGGCCATTAGCTCTTTCTATGATGACATATTGAATGTGATCGTATAAAATTTGTATTCTGCTGAGGAATTAAAAAAAAAACATATATATTTCAGTTTTAAAATGCCATGCTGTATCTCAGGAGTTTTGTATCTGCCGGCTCAGTTATTAGTTCCATTCCTAATTGCCGGTGTTTGCTGAATCCTATCTACACTCCTGAAATCTGTGTCCCAAATCCTGGCTCAGCCATCTGCTGCCCCAGCTTCAAAACTGATTTCTGCTTCAATCGAGGAATTAAGTCCTGGTTTAGCAAAGTGAACGGGAATTTTGATGTTTCCTTCAGAAAAGGCCTGGATTTTCCCCCACATTTCTCTTCCAGGATCTTTAAAAGGATATTTACATGAATCATTCTTTTACTTAGCATTTTTACATTTTACTTTTACATTCAGCACACCCCCTGTAACTAGAAGTTCTGCTCTGACTGGCCTTAGGAGTTTTGTATCTGCCGGCTCAGTTATTAGTTCCATTCCTAATTGCCGGTGTTTGCTGAATCCTATCTACACTCCTGAAATCTGTGTCCCAAATCCTGGCTCAGCCATCTGCTGCCCCAGCTTCAAAACTGATTTCTGCTTCAATCGAGGAATTAAGTCCTGGTTTAGCAAAGTGAACGGGAATTTTGATGTTTCCTTCAGAAAAGGCCTGGATTTTCCCCCACATTTCTCTTCCAGGATCTTTAAAAGGATATTTACATGAATCATTCTTTTACTTAGCATTTTTACATTTTACTTTTACATTCAGCACACCCCCTGTAACTAGAAGTTCTGCTCTGACTGGCCTTTGTCGAAATCATATGCTTATTTCAGGCTGATCCTTACTCTGAATATTTCCTTTTTTGTGACATTTGTGTGGAAATTCAGCATCCATGGACAGCAGCGGTCTCTCTCACCCACCACAGTGAATCCTGGTGGGTAGGGAGTGACAGAAATGCATCCACCCAATCTAGGTCTCTTGCAAAGCCATTTTATTTGGCACCACATCAGCAAGATTTATAGTTCAACATGCAACGTTTTCTTCTCATAGGGTCCTATACTCTTCTTTCAAAACAAATTAGGAAGAATAATATGCATATGCATAACTGAAGTGTCAATAAACGCTAGCTATTGTTTGTACATCGTTTTTTTCTCCAGAGAAAGGTGGGATGAGAGCTCTGAGTCTCCCTCCTGAGTACTCAAGTAGGCTTGAATTATACAGAGACCTCAGGTCAAAAATACTGTGGTCCTGAACAAGGAGCAATAAATAATATATTAGCTCTGATGTGGGTTATTGTTATGTAGTTGCAAATTTGGCAGGTTTGTCTGATCTAAGGAGGAAGAAAGGAATCACTGTGGGCAACAGAACCCTAAAGAAAAGAAAGAGGTTCTGAATGGAAGGAGAGCAACTGGAATATGTTGTAATCACAGAAAAGAGAGAAGAGGGATGGGATTATGAAGAGGCCAGGACTAGGACCGACTGATACATTAGAGGAATTATACTGAATAATTTTTGTGCTTGGTTTTTATATTTTTGTAAACTTCACTGGCCGATGGTGGCCACCCAGGCAGTCACTGCTCTCTGTTGCTGCTCTGCTGGCTCTTGGCTTTCTCAGCGGTGGAAGGCAGCAGCTGAAGGGTTGATGGTAGCTTTTGCCCCTCCTGGCTGAGATCAGAATCACCTGTATAAACTTGGCTAATGAAGCAGAATGGAAAAAAAAAACAACATTTATAATAGCAGGTGGGAATCTCAGCTTGGAGGTAGCCAGCAGCGGTGATGTGGTTGTTTTTCAGCTGAAACCAGTGTCCAGCTCTTGGTCCTATTCCACTTTGAATCCCTAGCCAGGTTGGCTGTAGATTAATCTATTTGACTGGATGCTTGAATGGATCAGAAGAGACATGCCCATGAAGCCATCTCAGATGGGGAAGAGACAGACAAGCAGCAAAGAGCATCCCTCTCATAATTAATTTGTGGTACATGAAAGGTAAGATGTTATTTGCTCTGATACATGCTGTAAATCTCATGGAGAGGGGCTGGGAGGAGGATGTGAAAATTTTGTGGTTTTACTGAGGCTGATTAATAAATTAAGGCATGATACTAGTTTCAGGCCAGAGCTAAATATAGGCCTGTGCACAGTCCATAGTGGATGACTTCTGTAGTGAAAAAGAAAGCAGCTATTGAGACTTTCCTAAAGGATGAGCATTTTCTCCTGGAATAGGGGGAGTGTTCTTTGTGTTTGTAGGTCTGACCTAAGCAGGAACTCAAGTGGGATAAAGGCAACCACTTATGCTGTACCTATGTCTATGAAGTGAACCGGTATATATACATTTGAAGACGCATTTTTCTCTCTTACATGTTCTTTGGTAGCATGTTTATATCTACTGGGTTGGCATGATTTCCATCCAATATCCACACTGAAACCACTATTATAGTGGAAAACAGTATATTCCAGTCAGTCTGTATGATTTTCTTTCCCCCAGGAAGGATAAGTGGCTTTTCCTGTGGGTCAGTGTCTAGGTCACATATTCTTTTTTTTGGTTGTTGCTACTGTGGCCAACTGTGAGTAACCCCATCCCTGGAGGCGTATAAGGCTGGGTTGGATGGGGCTTTGAGCGGTCTGGTCTGGTGGACCTTTAGTAGACTACAGAATTCTGTTTTATTTACCAGCAACAAGCAGGCACCCCAAGGGCAAGAATATTGCTGGCTATGGAGCTTTGCTAACAGAGCCCTGGGGCAATCGAACTTGGGCAATCTCCTCTGGCACTGCATTTTTCCATTTGAAAAACTGCCAGAGCCACAGGTTTAACATGAGATTAAGCACTGAGAGACAGGAGAAAGGGAGAGTGAAACTTCTTCAGGGGCTGGGATATGCTTGGCCTAAATGGCTGACTTTAGATTCCTTAATGCAATGCAGAGCTTCTCCCATTTCTCTGTCTTCTGGAAATCCCTTTCTTAAGAAGCTTAATTCCTCTACTTCCCCTAAGGTTCTAAGCACTCCAGCTCAATCTGAGCTTAAAACTTGTGCTAAGGTATTTATTTCTAGGTGCTATTCTGAACCTCTGCAGTGTTTATCATTTTTAGACTTGTAGAAATCCCAGTTCCTCATTTTATGTGGAAAAGATATTGTGAAAGCCAGCTGAGATGCTTTTCTCTATAGTGAGAAAAGTGAAGACAGTTCTCTCTTCTAAAAGCAAACGTTTTAGACTCTTCTACAGCAAAACAATAGGTGGACTCAAGAAAAGGATTTTGTATGGATTGATGCAATGTGACTACTGCACTTTATGTCTTTTGCTGTTTTCTAGTGATTAATACTTTGGATTTGCAAATTCTCACTTAAAAGTCGTTATTGTAATGCTTTGAATATTCTTGTCTGCTCTCTTGGTATGAAGGAGAAAAGGACCAATATTTTACTCAGAAAAAAGGCTCAAAGTCTCAAATAGAAAGCTCTTTATTTTTAAAGTACTTTGAAAGAAATTTTCTGAGGCCGATTTTATGTTCTAACTGAAATAATTGTTTTGTTGACCACATAGTCTCAGAATGAAATAAAACTGTATTTCCATAAGAGGGATGACATAGGCCACCAGCACTTTCCTCCTGCCTTTTGTTACCCGCTTTCTTTCTGCTCTGTGTCTGCTAAAATGAGGCTACAATTAACCTCTCTGGGTGGAAAAAGTACAGGGTGTTACCTACCAGGCTGCAATCATAATGGCAGGTAATTTTCACAGAGAGCATGAAGGAGAATGAAGTATATAAACTGACTTTTCCACGAGACAGTGCTGCTCCTTTTACTTTCTTTCCTGTTTATGGGTCATTATCAGAATCACCACTAGGCAAGCAGTCCCCCTGAGTTTATGTTGCTCGGTAAAAAGACTCCCTTTCTATTCCTCCCAGAACATTACACAGTCATTTCAGAGTCATTCTGCTTTTCTTATTACTGAAACATTGTTAAATAGTATCTGTCCTTAGGCCTTCCCATTATAAAGTTTCTTAAAAAAACAAGATAATATAAATCATGTGTGTGTCCAAAGCTGGTTATTTCAGGAGTTTGTCTATAAAATTGATTCCACATAAGTAAAGTTAGCTGAAATTATCTTCATACCTCTCTAAAAAGGAGACAGGGTAATAAAAAAATCACTTGTTAAGTGCAGTGTCCAGATGCTTTTTGAAATTTGCACTGAGATATAAATTGCAATTTTGAGTATGTTTTGCAAACTGAGTATATTTTGCTTGTGATATGAAAACCTAATCAGGTGTTACACTGAATTAGCAAGGTCAGGGAGGGGAGAAGTAAAAACTAGGGAGGATCTGATAGCGACAGAAATAGCAAGGATGTGTAATGACTCTACTTCCAGGACAGCTGGTGAACTTTTGATTCAATGGATCTTTAAGGCAGACTGTTTAAATTTTGATAAATGCAGGAGCAACCATTGAGGTCTCTTCTCCTGTGGAGAAAAACGCCCTATTGTCTTCAGGCACTGCTATTCTCTGTGTCTCAGGATGGCCAAGTTCTCAGCCACTTGTAGACTTAGTTTTTCAAAGTGTTTATAATTGCTTCTTTTTCAGTGAAAGAATGAACAGCTTCGGAGATTTCACACCCATAGAACACTTACTGGATAGAAAGTACAAACTTCCTTTTCTGAGAAGTGATTTAGGAAAAAATCCATGCTGTAGTCTCAAAAGAGTTGTTTAGGTGTTTCTCAAAACAAGGAGCAGTTTGAGATGCTGTCAGCAGAGGAAGGCATCAGAGTTATGTCTCCTGATGTCTATCATGTTGGCAGCAAAATGGCCCAATATAAGGCATTAAGTCAGTTGAAGGTGGGACCAAGAAGGGGTTCGATCTATAGGTTGTTAAGCAACTTATTTGACCTTAGGGGGGAACCAAAGGGATCACGAGAAAAGATTGTATGGGATGGGTGTGTCAGGAGGTCAATTGGGAATGTGGGGTGAAGGAACTAGGCTGTTCATTGAGATCACAGATTTACTGTGTTAAGGATACAGATTTATCTGAAATGGTCCCTTACAGAACCCGTTGATGTTGGGAATGTGGGGTGAAGGAAGTGGGCTGTTCATGGAGATCATGTGTTAAGGATACAGATTTGTCTGAAATGGTCCCTTACAGAACCCGTTGATCCTGGTGGAGTGTGTACCAGCCATAGCTCTGCTGCTTCCAGGACCACTACATCCAATATTTTGAGCCAAACCCCATCAATCAACATAAGGCAGTTCTGAGCAGCATCATTCAAGTGCAGATTTTTCATGGTGCAGGGGTAAAGCCAAGATGCAGAGTATTTCTGTTTGTGCCTGTTATTACATATAAATTCATACTATCGTATACTGGGCTTTTTTGCAGCTGTGGTTGAAATTACCTGTGCTTGAAACCAAAATTGAGTGTTGTGCAAAAGCCCAGGGGAGCGATGATGTGACAGAGGGAGTGAGTGAGGTTGTGGTAAAGTGAGACCATCCTTGTAATGCGACTGGTTCAGGTATTGAGATTTTTTTTCTGGTTTACAAGGAGTGAGGTTGTGGTAAAGTGAGACCATCCTTGTAATGCGACTGGTTCAGGTATTGAGATTTTTTTTCTGGTTGTTATGAGTCTACTTCACTTCCCAAATTTGTCACTGAGGATGCGCCAGTGGATGCAAAAACACAAAAATGATCAGAGATGTTGCGTCATCTCAGAGCACAAGACTTGATGAGCCATTATGCCGTGCTGTTGCTGGAGCCGTGATGTCCCTATATTTAGAAGCAGTTTGTTTTTCAAGCTGTGGTTACAGAGATCCATTTTCAATTGGGCATGAAACACTGATGAGACACGCACTGACGAGTTTCTGCATACTGTCCTGAAGCTTTGTGTTAATTTTTATTTCACTGGCTGACTTTTGAGGTTTTTCTTCTGTTTTACAGGATGTCTCAGAAAAGCTTTCCATCCTGTGTTGTGACTGAATTTAAATTGAAAACTCTTTTTCTCTTCTTTGGTCAGTTTTTGCAGATCAGCTGCAGTTTAACATTTTTAAAGAATACTTTTAATCTAATATGTCACAAGCCAGAGAAATAGGCTTTATTTCTAGTTTTGAAAAGTTACTTTTCTTTCTTGTGGAGTACACTAAAGGGTATCTGTCTACAGTATCCCATTGCAGGAGCCTTAAGAAAGTGCATCACTAGTCACACACCACATACCTGACATAAACTGGTCACATAATGGAGGTAAAGAAGCTCTTAGCTGTTGTTGTCTTTTAATATAATATTTGAGGTTTTTTAGCCTACACATGGTAGTCAGTAATTCTGGCTGTAACGGAGAAATAAAAGGCAATCCCACCCTCCTAGAAACCAAACCAAGCTATACAAGTAATGTTAACCTCCCCCCTTTATCAAATAATCCCAGAGGTGATGTATTAAACATCAGTTTTATCAAGGCTTCAACTCGGGAAGGCCATGTATAATGTTTGAGGTTTTTTAGCCTACACACGGTAGTCAGTAATTCTGGCTGTAACAGAGAAATAAAAAGCAATCCCACCCTCCTAGAAACCAAACCAAGCTATACAAGTAATGTTAACCTCCCCCCTTTTTCAAATAATCCCAGAGGTGATGTATTAAACATCAGTTTTATCAGGGCTTCAACTCAGAAAGGCCATGTCTACTTTGGACACCCAGCCATTGCACATGAAGGATGCTTTTGGCTCATTTGCCCCTTCCCTGTAAGAGCCAGGGCAGGGAGAGCTGCCCTGCCCCCCCTGTGCCCCCTTTCTGGGCAGAGCAAGGCCACGTCAGTGCCCAGCACAAGGATCTTTGGATGTCAGTGGTGCTTCAGACCCCACAGCGTAGACATGGTCATGGCACCTGCTGTGAACTCCGGACTAAATTGCTTCTGAATTATTTCTGAAGTTTACTGAAATAGGAGTTCGCTGTGAAAATAAAACTCTGGACTAAATTGCTTCTGAATTATTTCAACTATTATTTCTGAAGTTTACTGAAATAGGAGTTTGTTTGGCCTTCAGGTAATTTTGTTTTGTTGTGTCAGTAATTTAAGACTGCGTTATCATAGAATGGTTTGGGTTGAAAGGGACCTTAAAGATTATCTAGTGCCACCCCCTGCCCTGGGCAGGGACACCTCCCACCAGCCCAGGTTGCTCCAAGCCCCATCCAGCCTGGCCTTGAACCCCTCCAGGGATGGGGCAGTCACAGCTTCTCTGGGCAACCTGGGCCAGGCTCTCACCACCCTCACAGCAAAGATCTTCCCCACATCTCAGCTCCATCTCCCCTCTTTCAGTATCAAACCCTTCCCCCTCCTCCTATGGCTCCCATCCCTGATCCAGAGTCCCTCCCCAGCTTTCCTGTAGGCCCCCTGTGCATTATCCTGCAGAACACATCTCTAAGTTTTAATCTCCTTGTGAATTCAATGAGAATATTAAAAAAAAACCCCTAACAACTCTCCAAAAAAACAGTAAATGTTAAATGGTGAGAATGTTAAAAAAAAAAAACAACAACAAAACCCCAAATAACTCTCCAAAAAAACAGTAAATGTTAAATGCCTTCCCAGTTTTAATCACTAATATGCTTCCCTACCTGTGTTGTAGTGCTTGGTGCAGTAACATAAATCCTTTTCTTCTTTCAACAGAAACTGTGGCAGAGTGAGACCTTCTGCTACTTGAACTGCTCCCTTTTCTTGCCATTCAAAAATTAGATCGTTCATTGTGTATCCAACTAAAAGAGAAAAAACAACAACAAACTTAAATAAACTTTAAGTCAGCTGCAAACTTTGGAAAACAGGAGCATAACAAGCAGTGATGACTGAAGTAAATGTTATAAAAAGGAGATAATACAGGGGGTCTTGTGCCTGTTAGTCACAAAGTGTTACATGCCATTCGATACCGTACTGAACTAGACAAAAAGCCAGTCATATCCTCTGTGAAATCTTAATAGTCTAGTCTTTGAATGGAACTAACAAAAACATCAAAGTGAGCTAAACATCCAGTTCTCTGGGGGCTTGGGAAAATTTCCCCTCCCCAGCCCATGGAGGATGAAATGCTTTGAGTGGAACTAACAGAAGTATCAAAATGAGCTAAACATCCAATTCTTTGGGGGCTTGGGAAAATTTTCCCCTCCCCAGCCCATGGAGGATGAAATAGGCCCTTCACACTTGGATCTCTTTCTCCTTTAATTTGAGGTTTGTCAAAGCTATGTTTGTGTCAATCTGAATTAAGTGCAAATTCTGCAAAGAGAACAATGAATGAAAATTTCTGCAGGAGTGAGGTATTAGTTGAATTGAAAAAATACTGTTCTCTGAAGCTGGTACAGAGCAAGGGAAAGCAATGGGTTGAGATCGTCTCATATTAGCTGATTGTGATATATTATGAGACTAAAAGGTGTTCAGTTTTAATATTCAGATTTGTGCGCGTATCCGTACCTCATGCATGTGTGTATAAGATTAAATACAACAGCAAAAGCAGTAGTAGAAATACTAGTCAGGGGCCAGACTTTGTAAAGGGCAAGTATTTTTTCCTTTTTTTCTATTTTCATATCTCAGCTGAATATTTGTACAGGGGATCCTTGGGGAAAATAACTCTAATTCCTCTGAATATGTGGTATACTAACTTTCCTGTATATCCCTGGCATTTTAATCTTTTTTTTTTTTCTGAATAAATTTTCTCTGGTTATGACAACTGAAAAAAAAAAAACCATCCCATACCAAGCTTTCTGTTTCATTAAGGCTTTCTCAGGATTTAGTATATTTGGGCAAAGTGAGATTTTTAGATCAAAATCTAAAGCTAGATAGCTTCTATTGTTGTAACAGTTTGAATGACAAGGGTACAATTGAGTCGTATATAATAGCTTGAACCAGTAGGTGTAATTTTTACATCTAAATTAAACAGCTTTCATTCATCTATTTTGCTGCTTTACAATATTTCCTCCCTGCTTTAGTCCAATGCTAATGAGCTGTTGAGGATAACCTGCTGGTAACTGGAAATATCTTTTAACCTTTCAGCAACAAATCACTGATCAAAAGAAATTGTTCAGAACTTTCTCAGAGTATCTGTCTGCCTGCAAATACTGAAATCTTGAGTTCCAGTGAAGGAAATAACCTCTCTGGTGTGTGGGCATAGATCTTCCCCCTGGTATATTCAATGACTTCTTTACTCTTGGAACACATCTATAAATGCTGTTCAGTCCTAATGCCCTGATTTGCTGGCCTCAAATCCAAGATAAACTTCCTCTGTTCTGGTCTGTCTGTGTTGAATGAACTTAAAAGCTAAGAATTGGTGTTTATAACTTTAAAATTGTTTTCAGCCCCTCTCTTTGCTTCTGGTTTCTTGATGTTTCTTTGGGGGAATCCCTTCATACAAGAGACCATACCATTTCAAATAAGTATTGAATTAAGACTAGACATTACTCAAGTCATTATATATATACATATTATATATATAAATTATGCAAGGAAACATTTATTTTTTTGTCTTATTGCACACATGACATTAGATGAACACAGTCTTAAAATTCACTATTAAATGCCATAAACTAAGAAAAATCAGAATTATAACTCTTGTCAAACTTTACATGAATTCAGACAAAAAGCAGTTGTGTGTAAAGCAGATTATCACTTGAAGCATGTAGATTATGGCCAGAAGTGATATCCCCTGAGTAAAACTCATTGAACTGACAAGAAACAACTGCTGTGTCAAAATGTATTTCACTAAATAAGATTCATTCATCTCTAATGCCTGCCTTTAATTTTGATTATCTACCCTGCCCACTAATTCTCCTGTAGTGCAATCTATTAAAAATAATAGTAGTGTATGCCAAATGCTGATGTAGTAATTCAGTTTGATCATGTCTACATTTTAAATACCTAAATATAGCTTTAGCATTCAATACTATAACTTCGGTTTTGTAAGTCAAGATCATAAAGTAAACGTGTCTTAAAATATAGAGATTAATAGAGATGTGAGTTTGTTATACCAGAAAAATTTAAAATAGTATCATATTGTACTTCCACTAGTAAGTTAAATTTAAATCAACTTAAATTAAATCTCTACTAATTAAGGCCCTATATTAAATCATTCCACTTTTTCATTGATGGTGGAAAAAGTGACCTTTTTATACAACAGAAATGGCTGTAAGTAATGGAGGTTATCATCTATATAATGGTCTGCAGGACCAGGTCAACCTAAACTAAAGCAGGTGGATGAGTGAGGACTTCTACCACCAAAATGTGGTATGCTAGGGTTTGGGTTTGCAGGGTGCAAATGCATGAAGGTTGAGAAATGAAGCAGAGATGCCACATTTTGTGTATTATGGGATGCAAACCAGCTGCTGCAGCTCACGTAGAGTGCAGTTTGCAATGTATTTGTTGCTGTCTGGCTACTGTCCAGGTGTGTGCTCTTAATTAATTCTAAAAAGATATTATTATCGCACAAGATCTAAGTAGTGTCATTGTAGAACTGGAAAGAAAGGACAGAAAAAAAAACACATTTTGATGTTGAAGAGCATTGTTCCAAAGTTACAAGACTGGTTGGGCTGCATTAATACTGCCTCTATTAACCCAAAGTCTGAGGTCTTGAACATCTGTAATGCAAAAGCAGCCAATAAATTGTTGGTAATTATATGACAAGGCAATCATGCCAGGAGGAGAAGGTTGCCAGAGGGAGTATTTCTCAGGAAGAGTCAAGAACTGTGTGTGTGCAGGGCACTGTAGCCTCTTGGCAAACAGCTCCCTTTCAAAAGACTCATTTTTAGGAGCCTGCAGTCATTCCAGGTAATTAGCTAGCGGAGCATGTACTGGCAGACTGAGACCTCCGCCTGAGATGAATATGAAGACCTGGCTAAGTAGAATTTAGAATTAACTGGCAGCATAGAAGGGCTTGAAACAATAGGGAAAGTTGGATTTGGCCTGCAGAAGCTTTTCGTTAGAAAATAGTGTGTCACAGAGCTGGTGAAAAGTGAAAAAATGAAGGTAAGACTCTGAATGGTCACACTTAAGAAGGGAGGAGGTGGGAAAAATAAGGCAGTGGGTCAGGAGTGGTTGTCAGGGCTTGTGCCTGGAACAGTTGATGCAGGGTTTTGAATGTCTGGACACCAAATAAAATGAAACTATAGTAATAATCTTTTTAATTGATCTAATCTGTACAAAGCTCTTTGGCAGAAGGTGGATGAGATGACAGAAATACTAAGTCTAGCCTTTAGACAGCACTGAAAATTGTCGAATTAGAATGAAAAATTACAGCATGTTCAACTACAGGTTGCAGGAAAAATTGCAGGAAAAAAGGGTGTGATCCTGCTGAAATATTTCTAAGTAGCAGGTGCAGCTATAGTGTCCGGAAAAAGAGAAAACCCAATGTTTCCCTTGGTCTCATTCATCTTTTCCAGAAAATCTTATGTTTTCAAAAATGGTGTTGACAAGTTATTAACACCCATGTGAGGCCCCTGAAAGGAAAAAATAGGTTGTATCTGAGTTTTTTTTAACACTATTATTAATCTTAATGAAGTTATTAACACCCATGTGAGGCCTCTGAAAGGAAAAAATAGGTTGTATCTGGGTTTTTTTTAACACTATTATTAATCTTAATGATAAATATAACATTTTCATTCATCCAGTTTTGAAAGTGTAGGAACAAAACCCATCGTAACCAAATAGATTCTGTTCAACCCACATCAGTCCACATGGCTATAGATCTCATTGGAAATGAGCCGTTTATATCAGTTGTGTACATGCATCCTAAGGGTATGAAGATTTTATTTTAGCTAATTCAATATCAGCTGTAGGCATTAAAAGCCCATAATCTCACGGGCAAGACAGTGGACATCCAACAAGTTTGTCTTGAAGAACTATTGAAATGTCTTGAAAGTATGAAGATCTCTTCTCCAGGCTGTCCAAGGACTACACCGTTACACAAAACCAAGGTTTGTTATTCAGTACAAGCAATTCCTCTGTATCTTCAGGGGTTCCACACCTTTGAACCACAATTGTCTTGGCAATTGCAAGATCCCCCCTTTTTTACTTCTGCTGAGTATTTGCTGTTCTTTCCTTTTAACCAACCTTAGAATACCATCCCAAACCATGAAGTACAAAATTTTTGAGCAATCTTGTGATCCAGCTGAATGTGGATATATCTTGTAAATTTTCTACCCATTGTTCTATCCCAGGAAGGCCATGCTTCCCTAGTGTTGTTTTATAATACCTACAGGCATATTAAAACCTTACTCTTTTCCTCTTGTTCAATAAACAAAGACATGAATGGCATGAAATGACTCAGCTGAATATCTAACATTTTTGTACAAGAGTTTAGATTTGTATAAGAGTTCAGACTGCAGAATTTATTCTTTAGTTCTTTTCATCCCAGTGATTTACCTAAATTCTATTCTCATGTCTTTAATGTTTAGTAAGGTACAGGTCTGGGAGGAACACTGGATTTATTCAGCAAATTTATTCAGCAAACTGAGCAGTTCTTTGGTTATCCAGCTGAGGCAAGGACTAGAGTCATGTTGACTGGAGTTATTTGACTACTCCTCCCTCAGGCATCCCAACAGTGTGCCCCTGGGCAGGCTGCCCACACATTACTGTTCCTGGAACATGGCAGAGGTTTGAATTGTGCCCTAAATTCCAAGCAGCATTGCAGGGGGAAGCTCCAACAGAGCTAACGAGCCTGGGTTTAGCTGGAGGTTAGAATAAATTCTTCTAATGTACATTATGTACTAAAAATATTAGC